CCCAACACATCCTATCCAGCCTTGGGTCTCCTCAATACAAACCAACCAGATTTGGGTCTTTCCAACCTAACCGGCCTTGGGTCTCCTCAACCCAACCCAACCAGATTTGGGTCTTCCCAACCCAACCAGACTTGGGTCTTCTTAATCTGATCCAATCTTCCTTGGGTCTCCTCAACCCAACCCAACACATCCCACCCAGCCTTGGGTCTCCTCAATACAAACCAACCAGATTTGGGTCTTCCCAACCCAACCGGCCTTGGGTCTCCTCAACCCAACCCAGCTGAGCTAACTCAAGTCCCCTCCCCTCAAGGCCGAGGCCCCTCCCCGCCCTCACCTTGTTCTCGGTGGCGTGTTTCTCCTTCTCCACCTTGGCCAGGGTCAGCTCCAGGTCATCGATGTCCTTCTTCAGCTCCGAGCACTCGTCCTCCAGCTTCCTCTTCTTGGCCGTCAGCTCGGCGTTCATCTCCTCCTCGTCCTCCAGCCTCTCCGTCAGCTCCTTCACCTTGGCCTCCAGCTGGATCTTGTTCTTGATCAGCTGGTCGCAGCGCTCCTCGGCGTCGTTCAGGTTGTCTTGCTCCTGTGGGAGGGGTGGAGGGCGACAAGGGGCGACTCTGGGGGGTCCTGGGGGCGGTGGGGCAGGTGGTGGCACCCCTGAGATGTGGTTTTGGGGGGGAAGGGGGTCGTCTCACTCACGGCCTGCACTTGGAGCTGAAGGTCGTTCTTCTCCTGCAGCATGGACACCATCTTCTCCTCCAGCTCCTTCCGCCGCGACTCCGACTTCTCCAGGGCCTCCTTCAGCCGCCCGTACTCCTCCTTCATGTTCTGCTCCGGGAGACCCACGGCGAGTCCAACCCCCCGTCCATCACCCACCTATGGTGGTCCCGCCCCGCCCCGCCCCCTCCTCCCACCTGCATCTCCTTCTCCGTCTCGGCGCTCTTCAGCAGGGGTTTGATCTTGAAGTAGAGCTTCATCCACGGCCAGTTCTTCACCCCCATGAAGGCCCGCAGGTTCCACTGGATCACCAGCAGCGCGTCCCTGCGGGGAGCGGAGGGGGGACGCGGGTGCCACCACGGCCCGGGCCGGGTGACCCGCCCGGCGAGGAGAAACCCCGTGCCCGCCTCACTCACCGGCGCTCCACGATCTTCTTGAACTCGAGGCGCATGAGCTGCCCCCGCGCCCGCGCCTGGATGCGCGTGATGATGCGGGACAGGCGCTCGTCCCGCATCTCCTCCAGCTGCCCCAGCAGCCCCGCCTTGAAGAACACCTTGGGCGGGAGGGAGGAGGTCAGGGAGAGGGCGGTGGGAGCGCGGGATCCGCGTCCCCTCGTGGGAGGTGGGACCGTTGGGAACAGAGAGCGCGCGGCCTCATCTGCGGTGGGTGGGAGGGACCGATGGACACGTGGATGGGCAGATGGACAATGTGATGGACAGATGGACAGGGGATGGTGTGACGGTGAGGTCCGTGTCACCTCATGGGAGGTGGGACCAGGGGGAACAGAGACCACGCGGCCTCATCTGCGGTGGGTGGGACGGACCGATGGACACTTGGATGGGCAGATGGACATGCGGATGGACAGACGGGCAGGGAGTGGTGTGATGATGAGATCTGTGTCACCTGGTGGGAGGGGGGACCAGGGGGAACAGAGTCCATGTGACCTCATCTGTGGTGGGTGGGAGGGACCGATGGACACATGGATGGACAGATGGACACATGGATGGTGTGATGGTGAGGTCTGTGTCACCTCATGGTAGGTGGGACCAGGGGGAACTGAGACCACGCAGCCTCGTCTGTGGTGGGTGGGAGGGACCGATGGACATGTGGATGGGCAGATGGACACGGGGATGGACAGATGGACAGGGGGTGATGTGATGGTGAGGTCCGTGTCATCTCACAGGAGGTGGGACCAGGGGGAACAGAGACCACTTGGCCTCATCTGTGGTGGTGGGAGGGACCGACGGACACATGGATGGACCGATGGACACGGGGATGGACAGATGGACAGGCAGATGGACAGATCGACATGGAGTGGTGTGACACTGAGGTCTGTGTCACCTCGTGGGAGGTGGGACCAGGGGGAACAGAGTCCATGTGACCTCATCTGTGGTGGGTGGGAAGGACCGATGGACACGTGGATGGACAGATGGACACGGGGATGGAAAGATGGACAGGGGATGGTGTGACGGTGAGGTCCGTGTCACCTCACAGGAGGTGGGACTGGGGGAACAGAGACCACGCGGCCTCATCTGTGGTGGGTGGGAGGGACAGATGGACATGTGGATGGACCGATGGACACATGGATGGACAGATGGACATGTGGATGGACCGATGGACACATGGATGGACAGATGGACATGTGGATGGACCGATGGACACATGGATGGACAGATGGACACATGGATGGGCAGATGGACAGGAGGATAGTGTGACACTGAGATCCGTGTCACCTCGTGGGAGGTGGGACCAGGGGGAACAGAGTCCATGTGACCTCATCTGTGGTGGGTGGGAGGGACCGATGGACACGTGGATGGACAGATGGACAGGGGGTGGTGTGACGGTGAGGTCTGTGTCACCTTGCAGGAGGTGGGACCAGGGGGGTACGGAGTCCACATGACCTCACCTTGGTGTGCCCGAACTTGTACTGGTTGTGGTCGATGTCGATGGAGCCCAGGAGCTTCTCGGCGCCCTTGCGGCTGTCGATGAACTGCCCCTCGGGGATGGCTGCGGGGTTCAGGATGCGGTACCTGGCGCCAGAGAGGACACGACCCGCCCCGATCAGCCCCAGTGGGGTTATGCCCCCGGCCCCATGCCCCCCATCCCATGCCCACCGCTGGCGGAAGTCCCCGTAGAGGATGCGGTTGGGGAAGCCCTTGCGGCAGATGCGGATCCCCTCCAGGACCCCGTTGCAGCGGAGCTGGTGCATCACCAGGGCGTTGTCCATCACGCCTGGGGGAAGGGACACAGGTTGGGGGGGTCAACCACGAGCCACACCCACCTTCCCACCCACCCCCCTCCCGCCCTCTGCTCACCCGGCTGCTTCCGCTCGTTCGGGACGAGGCAGCGCACGAAGTGGGGGTGGGTGGTCTTGAGGTTGGCCATCAGCTTGTTGAGGTTCTCCTGGGGAGGAGAGAAGAGGTTGGCCAAAGGGAGAGCAGAGGAGGGGCCACGGGTGGGGGGTGGGACCATCCTCCACGCCGAGGGTTGACCTCCCTCTGCCCCACGGCGGATCCGCCGCGCGAGTCCCTCACCCGGTGCAGGGCTGAGACCGTCTGGAAGGAGGAACCTTTCTTCTTGGCTCCTTTGCCCTTCCCACCGTCACCACCTGAGGAGAAGATGGATGGGGTGAGGTGGGAATGAAGGCAACTCTAGTAGGCAACTGCCTTCTCCATCCACCCATCACCCACCGGAATCCGCCCCGGCGTAGTTGGAGAAGAGGCTGGCCAAGAGCTTGAGGGCGGATTTCTGGTAGAGCCCCACGACCGTCTCGTTGAGGGGGTCCTTGTTCTTCTCCAGCCAGCCCAGGATGTTGTAGTCCACGGTGCCGGCGTAGTGGACGAGTGAGAAGTGGGCCTCGGCCTTGCCCTTGACGTTGCGCGGCTTCCCAAAGTTGGCCGACTTGCCCAGGTGGTTGTCGTAGAGCTTGGCCTTGAAGGTCATGTCCGAGGCCTTGGGGAACATGCACTCCTCCTCCAGGATGGACATGATCCCCATGGGCTGGGGAGGAGAAGGTGTCGTTGGCCATGGAGGACACCAAGGACCGCCCAAAAGTCACTTGTTGGGTCACTGACGGGCTCCAAGTGGATGGACCCTCCTCCATCAGCGCCCGGAGGCCGTGGTGGGGGTGGTACCTTCTCGATGAGGTCGATGCAGGCCTGGAGGTCCATGCCGAAGTCGATGAACTCCCACTCGATCCCCTCCTTCTTGTACTCCTCCTGCTCCAGCACGAACATGTGGTGGTTGAAGAACTGCTGCAGCTTCTCGTTGGTGAAGTTGATGCAGAGCTGCTCGAAGCTGTTGAACTGGGGGAGGAGAGGGAGGGGTAGATGATGGGATCGGCGCGGTCAACTCGACCCCCAACGGGGTCAGCGGGGTGAATCCGAGACCCAATGGGGTGAGCGGGGTCAACTCAATACCCAACAGGGTCATCTCAGTGCCCAACAGGGTCAGAGGGGTCAACTGAAGGCTCCGCAGGGTTAACACAATTCCAAATGGGATCAACGTCAAACCCAACACCCAGTGGGGTCAACTCGACCCCCAATGGGGTCAGCGGGGTGAACCCGAGACCCAATGGGGTGAACGGGGTCAACTCAATACCCAACAGGGTCATCTCAGTGCCCAGCAGGGTCAGAGGGGTCAACTCAAGGCTCCGCAGGGTTAACACAATTCCAAATGGGATCAACGTCAAACCCAACACCCCGTGGGGTCAACTCAACACCCAACAGGGTCATCTCGGTGCCCAACGGGGACAAAGTGATTCCCAAAGGGGTCAAGGGGATCAATTCAATACCCAATGGGGTCAGTGAGGTGGGATCACCAGAATGCCCAGTGGGGTCACCTTAGACCCAACAGGGTCAACACAACATGCAGTGGGGTCAATAGGCACAACTCAATACCCAGTAGGGTCAACAACATCTTGTGAGATTGGTGGGTCAACCTGAGACCCAATGGGGTCAAAACGACACCCAGTAGGGTCAACAGGGTGAACTCAACACCCAACAGGATCAACTCAATGCCCAGTGGGATCAACGAGATCAGCTCCACACCCAACGGCGTCAACAAAAACATCCAAAGCATCCAAGTTTCCACTCAAGGACAGTGTGAAGCCACAGGAGACCCACCCAACATCCGACTGGATCAACACCAGCTCCGAGAAGCCCAACACCACCTCCCCTCCCTTCTCCCCCCGCGGGCCTCACGTCGAAGATCTCGAAGCCGGCGATGTCCAGGACGCCGATGAAGTACTGCCGGGGCTGCTTCGTGTCCAGCGAGTTGTTGATCCTCACCACCATCCAGTTGAACATTTTCTCGTAGACGGCCTTGGCCAGGGCGCCGATGGAGTAATAGACCTGCTGGACGCTCTGGCCCTTGGTGACGTACTCGTTGCCCACCTTGACCCGCGGGTGGCACAGCCCCTTGAGCAGGTCGGCCGAGTTCAGCCCCATCAGGTAGGCGGACTTGTCGGCGTCTGCGGAGGAGGAGACGCTCGGTCAGGTGCCACCGTGGTCAACTCAACACCCAACAGGGTCATTCGGTGCCCAACGGGGACAAAGTGATTCCCAAAGGGGTCAAGGGGATCAATTCAATACCCAATGGGGTCAGTGAGGTGGGATCACCAGAATGCCCAATGGGGTCACCTTAGACCCAACGGGGTCAACACAACACGCAGTGGGGTCAATAGGCACAACTCAATACCCAGTAGGGTCAACAACATCCTGTGAGATTGGTGGGTCAAAGAATTGGTGCCCCCCCCTCGACCCGTCACCCCCCTCGCCCCGACCCGCCTTCGGTGCCGTCGGGCTCCGCCTGCTCCTCCCGCTGCTTCTGCTTGAACTTCATGTTGCCGAAGTGCATGATGGCGCCCGTCAGCTTGTACACCCCGGCCTTCTCCTCGGCAGTGAAGCCCAGCACGTCGAAGGCGCTCTGGGGGAGAGGGAGGGGCGGAGGAGGGGTCAGGGGAGAGCACAGCATCTGCTGGTCACCACCCGTGGCTCCCTCCCACTGCCCCTCCCACTGGTCGGCCCGGCCGGGGGGGACGTGTCCATCCGTGGGCTCGTCCACGTGAAGGACTCATCCGTGGACTCGTTCGTTCAGCCGGGGGTTTGTTTGTCCATCTCAGGACTCGTTTATCCGTGGATCCATCCATCCGTCCTTCTGAAAACTCGTGCATCCATGGGCTCAGCCATCTGTCTGAGGACTCATCTCTCCATCCACCCATCCATCCATTTGAGGACTCATCTATCCAAGGATTCATCCATTCATAGACCAACCTATCCATCCATCCATCCATCCATCCATCCATCCTTCTGAGGATTCATCTATCCATGGATTCATCCATCCATCCATCCATCCTTCTGAGGATTCGTCTATCCATGGATCCATCCATCCATCCATCCATCCTTCTGAGGATTCATCTATCCGTGGATTCATCCATCCATCCATCCATAAATCCTTCTGAGGATTCATTTATCCATGGATCCATCCATCCATTTGAGGACTCATCTATCCATTGATTCATCCTTTCATAGACCAATCTATCCATCCATCCATCCATCCATCCATCCATCCATCCATCCATCCTTCTGAGGATTCATCTATCCATGGATTCATCCATCAATCCATCCATCCATCCATCCATCCATCCTTCTGAGGATTCATCTATCCATGGATTCATCCATTCATGGACCAATCCATCCATCCATCCGTCCATCCATCCTGAGGATTCGTCTATCCATAGATTCATCCATCCATCCATCCTTCTGAGGATTCATCTCTCCATGGATTCATCCACCCATCCATCCATCCATCCATCCATCCATCCAACCTTCTGAGGATTCATCTATCCATGGATCCATCCATCCATTTGAGGACTCATCTATCCATTGATTCATCCATTCATGGACCAATCCATCCATCCATCCGTCCATCCATCCATCCTTCTGAGGATTCATCTATCCATGGATTCATCCATCCATCCATCCATCCATCCATCTGATGACTCATCCACACATCCAAAGACCCCATCCCTCCCTCCCTCCCTCCCTCCCTCCCTCCCCGCTCACGTCGGTGGCCAGCAGCTCCTCGGCGTCATCGATGGAGGCCACGGTCACCTCGCCCTGGGACACGTACCCGTAGTCGTAGGGGTTGGAGGTGACCAGCAGCATCTCTGGTATGGGATGGAGACACCGCTGAGCACTCCCGGCTCCCAAATCCCCCCATTTAGGGAGGAGGGGGAAGGGAGAAGCCCCCCCGGCCCCGCCCGGCTCACCCAACAGCTCCGGCTTCTTGTTGGAGAGGATCTGGTAGAAGATGTGGTAGTTCCGCTCCGCCTTCAGCTGGAAGATGACGCGGGACTTCTCCAGGAGGTCTGGGGAGGTGGAAGGGGGAGAAGGTGGGGTGAGGAGATGGGTGGGGACACGGAGAGATGGATGGTGGGGTGACAACGTGGGTGGGGATAGGAAGAGGGGGATGAGGAGATGGAGGGTGGAGCGCTCACGGATCCATCAGACGCGAGGACAGACGGACACGTCCGCGGAGGGAGGATGGGAGGGAGGAGACGTGAGGGGGTGGAGGGACAAAGGAAGGATGGAGGGATGGGGTGAGGGGACAGAGGGTTGAGGGGACAGAGGGTTGAGGGGACAGATGAAGGGACAGGGTGCAGGGACAGGGAGGTCTCTGGACACGTGGAAGGAGGTCGGAGGGTGACCAAGCCCCGGCCCCGTGGCCACTCACAGGTCTCGATGTCGGCCGACGCCAACTTGCCGGTGGCCCCGAAGTGGATCCGGATGAATTTCCCCTGGGAGGGTGGTGGGGGGGTGTGAGTGGGGCAAAGACCCCACCCTACAGACCCCAGCCCACCCCATAGGTACCACCCCATAGGTCCTGTCCCATAGACACCATACAAAGACCGCAACCCACAGATCCCCCATAGACCCCGCCCACCAGACCCTTCCTCATGAGTTCTTCCCATAGACCCCACCCCACAGACAGTACCCTATAGACACTGACTGCACCCTATAGACCTTCCATAGACCCCACCCCACAGATGGCACCCTATAGACACTGACTGCACCCTATAAACCTCCCATAGACCCCACCCCAGAGACACTGACTGCACGCTATAGACACTGACCCCACCCCATAGACCTCCCATAGACCCGACCCCATAGACACTGACCCCATCCCATAGACCTCCCATAGACCCCACCCCACAGTCACTGACTGCACCCTATAGACACTGATCCTACCCCATAGACCTCCTGTAGGCCCCACCCCACAGAGACTGACCCCACCCCAGAGACACTGACCCCACCCCATAGACACTGACTGCACCCCATAGACACTGACCCCACCCCATAGACACTGACCCCACCCCATAGACCTCCCATAGACCCCACCCCGTAGACAGTGATTGCACCCCATAGACACTGACTGCACCCTATAACCTCCCATAGACCCCACCCCATAGACACTGACCCCACCCCACAGACACTGACTGCACCCTATAGACACTGATCCTACCCCATAGACCTC